TGAGGGCTGGAAAGATGGCTCAGAGGTTAAGAGAATTGCCTGCTCTTCCAAAGGTCCTGAGTTCAATTCCCAGCAACCACATGGTGGCTCACAACCATCTGTAGTGAGGTCTGGTGCCCTCTTCTGACCTGCAGTCGTACATACAGACAGAATATTGTATACATAATAAATAAATAAATAAATAAATAAATAAATAAATATTAAAAGAACTAGAGAATGAGCCAGGCGGTGGTGGCAACATGCCTTTAATCCCAGCACTTGGGAGGCAGAGGCAGAAGGATCTTTGTGAGTTTGAAGCCAGCCCCTGGTCTACAAGAGCTAGTTCCAGGACTGGCTCCAAAGCTACAGAGAAACCCTGTCTTGAAAAACTAGAGAATAATATAGTATTACTTTAAATTTCTTTCTTTTTCTTTTTTCCCCTTTATTTCAAGGCAGGGTTTCTCTGTGAGACAGCCCTGGCTGTCCTGGAACTCGCTCTTGTAGACCAGGTTGGCCTCGAACTCACAGAGATCCACCTGCCTCTGCCTCCCAAGTGCTGGGATTAAAGGCATAAACTGCCACCACCAGGCTCTTTTTGTCTTTTCAAGACAGGGTTTCTCTGTATAGCCCTGGTTTGTCCTGGAATTTGATCTGTGTTGAGGACTGGCCTCAACAAAATTACTTCTTACCAGGGTAAGGATATGGGAATTGAAGAAATATAAGTAAAGAATATGAAGATGCATAAAAATAATAAGAGAGAACATAGAAAATATTAGGAGAGCATTCCAGTAACTGAAATCCTGAAATTCACCCGCGTTTATTTTTTCACAGCTTTTATACCCAACATTAACTGGGGGAGAAGGTAACAAAAGACTTTATTAACATGGTACAAAGGATAACTCACACCGTCAATGGCCTTATCACTCTGAGACATTAAATTATTAGCATTCTGTCTTCTAGGTGCTCTTAAGTCTCTATGCTGAAGACCGCCCTTCCCTAGGTGACCTCATAGTTACAACAGAAGGAGCAGAAGATTTGCATACCCTGACCACCCCCTTAGGATGGCACTGAGCTGTATTAATTTCAAAAGAGCCAGGCAACCACCTCCTGAGTTAGGAGGTGCAATTATGCCTGTCAGTCTCCAAACCCTGACCGGCAGACAAGATGGAAACGGCCTGCATTCTTCAGCCTCCACAGATCTGTAGACCAGGCTGGCCTCAAATTCAGGGATCCGGCAGTCTTTGCCTCCTGAGTGCTGGGATTAAAGGTGTGTCCACCACCACCCTACAAGCTAGATAGTTCTTATGGGCATAACCAAATGTCAGGTTGTAAAATTTACAATCAAGAACTGAAATGAACTCCAACAGGAGTCCTTTTGTGGATATTGCCCATTTGTTTTTTAGTGGCAAAATATACTGTTTTAATTCATTATTTTTATTTAATTGTGCAAGTGTTGGGTATGAGGGCACATGTGGAGGTGAGAGGACGACCTGTGGGGGTCAGGGGTCAGTTCTCCCCTCACTGTGTGGGTCAGGGGTCAGTTCTCTCCCTGTCACTGTGTGGGTCAGGGGTCAGTTCTCTCCCTCACTGTGTGGGTCAGGGGTCAGTTCTCTCCCTCAGAGTGTGGGTCAGGGGTCAGTTCTCTCCCTCAGTATATGTGGGTCTGGCAATAGTGTAATGGTCTGTCCTGTCCCTTTAAGAGACAAGCCCTGCCCACTTCCCTCCCTCATCTTCTAGATCTTCCTTCTGCTTCCAGCCTGAGCTCACTCCTTTCTGTCTCTCCTCTCTCCCGAAGAGGTAGCTGCTGCCTTGGCTCCTCTCCTGTAGACCCGATTCTCTTTCTCTCTCTGCTCTTCCTCCTTCTCCCCTTCTCCTCTTTCCCTTCCATAACCCACTAAGTAAATACCTACTTTGTCTGCATGGTGCATGCATCTCTGTCCCTGCCTGGGACCTGCTGGCCTTCGTGGCCTGTGGGCCACATGGGGATCCACAGCATTTTACCACCGCAGCTCCTTGTGGCCTGCTGCCCACTGCAGCCACTTGGGGGCTGGCACTGTTTTATTTTTGCCACAACAAGCTACCACGTAGGTGCTGGGAATTGAACCCAGGTTCTCTGGAAGAGCAACCAGTGTTTTCAACCACTAAGCCATCTCTCCAGCCCATATTTTTACATTTTATTTTATTTATTATCGATTTCATACATGTATATAATACAGACCTGTCACTTCCCACCCTCTCACCCTCCTCCAACCCCTAAAAGTTCTGACCTGCCTGCCACCAAGTCCCCATCCCACAGGTCTGACATCAACTCTTTCTCTCTCTTTTTTAAGATTTCTGTATGTGTGCTTGTGTATGTGGTGCCTGTGTCTCTGCGGCTGCACGCCATATGTGTGAAGTCAGTGGAGGACAGGAAAGGGAACTGGATCTCCTGGAGCTGAAGCTACAGAAGATTACAAGTCACCTGGCAAGGGTGCTGAGAACTGAATTCAGGTCTTCTGGAAGAGCAGCAAGTGCTCTTTAACACCGAGCCATATCTCCAGTTCCCAACACCAATTTGTTTTTTGAAGAATAATTTATTTATTATGTGTTCTGCCTGCATGTACTATATCTCATTATGATGGTTGTGAGCCACCTTGTAGTTGCTGGGAATTAAACTCAGGACCTCTAGGAAGAGCAGGCAATGCTCTTGACTGCTAAGCCATCTCTCCAACACCAATTCTTAAGGTATAAAATACTATGGATGTTGTTACCATTAGAGTCATTGATTTTTGTGCAATTTGGATGATAAAGAACAGATCAAATTCTTGGGTGTCTCAGATAAGAAGAGAAGGACTCACAGGCCCTGTGTCAGAAGCATAGATGTCTCATAGTTTCCCTTCTATTTCTGTGACAAGCACAGACCAAAGCAATGTGACGAGAAAAGGGTTTGTTTCCTCTTAGAGTGTATCTGTGGTAGTTTGAATGTAACTGGCTCCCATGATCTCAGAGAGTGACACTATGAGGAGGTATGGCTTTGCCAGAGTGGGTATGGTTTCTCTGTAACTTTGGAGCCTGTCCTGGAACTTTCTCTGTACATCAGGCTGGTCTCAAACTCACAGAGATCCCCACCTCTCTCTGCCTCTTGAGTGCTGGAATTAAAGGCATGCACCACCACCGTCTGGCGATTAAGCAGGGTTTTTTTTTTTCTTGTTTATTTGTTTTTAGTTTTTTCGTGTTAGGTTTTCTCTATGTAACAGCCCTAGCTGTCCTGGAACTAGCTCTTATAGACCAGGCCGGCCTTGAACTCACATAGATCTGCCTAGCTCCACCTCTGCCTCCCAAGTGCTGGAATTAAAGGCATGCACAACCATTGGCCAGCAATCAAACAGGTTTTAAATGACCATTTTCTCCCTTAGTTCTAAATTTCCAAAGTTGAATCTTTCCTTTGCTTGGTGAAGATAAAGACCTTAGGTGCTGGGGGAATAGCTCAGTCAGTCATGTGTTTATCATGCGAGCAGAAGGACCTGAGTCTGAGCCCCAGAACCCACATGAAAAGCTGCCTGCCTTGGCTGGGCGGTGGTGGCACAGGCCTTTAATCCCAGCACTCGGAAGGCAGAGGTAGCGGTAGGCAGATCTCTGTGAGTTCAAGGCCAGCCTGGTCTATAAGAGCTAGTTCCAGGACAGATAGGACTGTTACACAGGGAAACCCTGTCTCAAAAAAATAAAAAAAAAAAAAAAGAAAAGCCTGCCTGTCATTCCAGGCCTGGAGGAGTGGAGACAGCAGGTCCCTGGAGCTTCCTTACCAGCCAAACTAGCTAGTCCAGCTCCTCACTGAGTAAGCCACTCTGTATTAAAAAAAAAAAAAAAAAAAAAGTATTGATTGAGGGAAGACACCTATAGTCAATCTGTGGTCTACACAGGCAGGCAGCAGACAGACAGACAGACACACACACACACATGACATGGACCTTGAAAAGCATGTTTTTGAGCAGGTCTTTTATGATACTGCATTAACACTCTAGGAATTCTTACCCTCTGCTAGGGGCAATGTGATCTTGTGAAGACCTCAAGGACACTCAGTGAATGCTGATAGGCTGGCAGGCAGGCTCCGCAAACTAAAGTGTTTGTGACTCACATTTCTGAGTCCTGGTTCTTGTGCACACATACATTACAGGATACAAACCTTTCTTTTATCACTGGCTGCTCCTCTGCCCCCCTCATTCCCAGTATTGCTTAACTGGAATCTTGTCCAAGAAGGCTGGATGGGTCTAACGCCACAAGAAATGATGACTGCACCACCTGGTGGTGGTAGGCTGGAGTTGCCTTATCCCTGTCCTCACAGAATGTCATGAACAAGGAGCCACCTCGGAGAGCCCTTCAAAGGTTAAGAAACAAGCACTGGCCTCCGATGTTAGACCCATTTTCCTTGCCTACCACCCCTCTATAGACATCCACCTGTTTTTAACCTTCACTAGCACTTTTACATGTATTTGCCTGCATGCTTTTATGTGTACCACATGTGTGCAGGAGGCTATGAAGACCAGGAAAGGGCATCAGATCCCTGGAACAGGAGTTACAAGTGCTTGTGAGCCTTCATGTGGGTTCTGGAAACCAAACTCAGGTCCTTATAAGCACTCTTAACTACTGAGCCATCTCTCCAACCCTGTATTTTTACTTCAGTGTTGAAGACATCCATGGTCCGGAGTAATAAACCAAGGAAATGCAGCAAGGAAGAGCAGACCTGTTGAAGTAGGAGCGGCGAGGCTGCGTCCCGGCACCCGGCCGCCCGCATGGCTAGCTAATGCCCGAAATAATTACACGGAAACTGTATTCTATTAAACACTGCCTGGCCTGGCTAGTTCCAGCTTCTTACTGGCTAGCTCTTACATATTGTTATAACCCATTTCTAATATTCTGTGTAGTCCACGAGCTGGCTTACCAGGGAGGATCTTAACCTGCGTCTGTCTGGAGTGGGAGAATCATGGCAACTCCTTAACTCAGCTTCCTTTTCCCAGCATTCTCTTCTGTTTACTCCACCTACCTAATTTTCTGTCCTATGAGGGCCAAGGCAGTTTCTTTATTATTAACCAATGAAAGCAACAGATAAGATATAAGACCCACCTCCATCACAGACCTCAGCAGGAAAATAAATAAAGGCATCAGCATGTGTTTATGACCGCACAGGTGAGCATCTTGACATAGGCAACTGGTAACAAACTAGTCTGAGTAACAGTGAAACCTTGTCTCAAGAGCAAAAGGAGGTGGGCTGGAGAGATGGCTCAGCAATTAAGAGCCCACAGTGCTCTTGCAGGGGACTTCAGCTGGTCGCCAGAATCCACATCAGATAGCTCACAACCACCTGTAACTCTGGCTGTTAGGAGACCCCCGGAGCCTCTGACCTCCGAGGGCACTAGGGCTCACACACGTGCTCATACTTAAAATAATTAACAGCTGGGCTCTGAAATCTTGCCACACCCCTCTATAGGCAAGCACAGATGTGAAAGATCAGAATGATACAATTAGTTAGATTAAAATATTAGTATTGATAAGGTCTCACACCCAAGAGAAAAAACATGCATCCTTCTTGAGATCTGCAGCTCTGGGGGTGTGGGGGTGTGTTTGTGGGAGGCAGAGGACAACTTTGTGTGTCATTCCTCAGGAGCCATTGTCATCTTTCAGTTTTTGAGTTTTCATTTTGTTTGGTCTTAGAGGTGGGGTCTTTCCGGTTTGGAATTCAGGCTGGGTTGGCTGACCAGTGAGGCCCTGGAATCTGCCTGTCTCCTGAACTGGGACCACAAGTGTATACAACCATACCTGACGTTTTCAGAGGGCTTCTGGGGAATTAAAGTTGGGTAGTCATGGTTGCAATGCAAGTACTTTATTGACTGAGCTATTTTCCCAGCGTGAGATATGCAACTATCACCATCATCACCATCATCACCATCATCATCATCATCATCATCATCATCATCATCATCATCTATGGGCATGCATACTACAGCACACATGTGGAGGTTGGTGGATAACTTTGTAGAGTCAGTTCTTTCCTTAAATTAGGAGTTGAACTCAAGTTACCAGGCCTTCGTATTTCTTAGCAAGCACCTTTAACTGCTGAGCCATTGCAATTGCTCTAGAAATTACTTCTCCCCCCCCCCCCAAGACAGGGTTTTTCTGTGTAGTTTTGGAACCTGTCCTGGTACTCACTCTGTAGACCAGGATGGCCTCGAACTCACGGAGATCCTCCTGCTTCTACCTCCTGGGTGCTGGGATTAAAGGTGTGCACCACCACTGCCTGGTGTGCAGACACAGTTTCTCTTATTTCTGGTTGCCTCAATAACACATGTCTCTGTAACGGTCTGTCCTGTCCCTTTAAGAGACAAACCCCAGTGGTCTGACTGTCAGTTAAAAACATACATCTCACAACTTGGTGGTCCCAAATTTAAAAAACAAAAACAAAAAAACGCACAACAAAAGCCAAGTGAAGTAGGTGTCTGAGCCAGGAGTATAAATATTGCAAGATGTCATTTTTATTCCTGAATAAAATTTATTCATTTTTATAAATTTATAAATTTTTCCT